CATTAACTACACAGAGCCGTTGTTCACAGACAAGCTGCGCAAAAAATCGCGCAAATATGAACGTGGTTTTGCGCAGCTCGTCTGTGAACAACGGCTCTGTGTAGTTGCTGCTGCTCAATGTGAAAGCACGCACGTGATGGAGATTTACCGCTGATTACAGAATGGCTTTACTGACAAGATGCGCGTTAAATATCGCATGCGATTTTATCGTGCAGCCCTAAAAAATATCCATATTCAAAACGTAATAATCACTTTAATGTAGCTAATGTAGTAAAGAGACCAAGTGGTTTAAACAACGTTTTGTCTCATACTAAAGTTTTAAAAAGCTGACATAACTCAGATTATTCTGATTATTCCTATCTCTTCAACCCAAAAGTCACACAGTTTCATACTGCCTGTGCTTTTTACTGCAGCGATCTGCATCCTACCATGTCTCAATGGAGGACGCTGTGTAGCTCCATACCAGTGTGAATGTCCAACAGGATGGACAGGCACACGCTGCCATAATGGTAAGAGTTTGTGTTTGTGTATAATGACTTGTGATTGTCGTCGAGAAAATGTATTACATAGATGTTGATTAGTAGCAGAATAGTTAAAGGGACAGTTCACTCAGAATGAAAATTCTGTCATTAATTACTCACCCTCATGTCGTTCCAAACCCATAAGACGTTCATTCATCTTCAGAACATCTTTGTTCATGTGTGTGATGCTGCTGACGTAGAACACGCATGCACTGAGTCTTGTTTACGAGCAGAGGAATGCACATGCATGTTGTGGTACTCTGGCAGAAGACGGTAACTCGGGGGAGAAGAATTGTTGAATAAAGTTGTTGCTTTCTTAGTGCACAAAAAGTAGCTTTGTAAAATTATGGTTGAACCACTGATGTCACATGGACTATTTAATCGATGTTTTTTGGGCCTGGGAATATTACAGTTGCGTTGCTGTCTATGGAGGGTCAGAAAGCTCTTGAATTTAATCAAAAATACCTTAATTTGTGTTCTGAAGATGAACGAAGGTCTTACGGGGTTTGGAACGACATGAGGCTGAGTAATTAATGACAGATTTTTCATTTTTGGGTGAACTATCCCTTTAACTAGTCAGAGCAGCCTCTAATGTTGTCGGTCTTGTATGAGTAATTAAATAACAAATCTACAACTTTGAGGAAGTAGGAACATCACCTGCGTTATTGAGTCCTGACAAGCTGAGACGAATGAAACACAATTAGTGATAACCTCACAGCATTTAATTATAGCCAATTTATGAAGTCTAGAGAACATCTGTCATTCCCTCAAGCTATCTGTGATCTTGAAGATATAAGTCTTAGTTCAACTATAAAAGCTGCTATTTAGGGAAATATCTCACCATTAACTAAAGACATCATGCTAAACAAATTAAACTTAAGGGTTTAAAAGTAGGGTGGAGTGCAGTGATTAGAGTGATTACAGACAGAAGGACCTCATGGTGGGATGGGGGCCGGGGCTCATTCTCCCGGGGTCATCCTATGTCATACTCACGTTGTTGCCAGGCAACACCTGTGACAACAGACTCTAATAGTGATATGCAGTAGATCCCAGGAGCCCAAGCAGTAAAACAAAACACAATTATTGAAAACACATAGGGGCAGTTGACATAAGTTATGACATAAATAATGTTTACACCATAATTTACCTTAAGTTATTTTAAACAGCATTTTTCTAATTATACTACATTTAGTTTTATGAACTCATAATAATTGGCAGACTACATAGAATATAAAAATTAAATATAAGTGAAATGCAAAACATATAATAGGTGAAAACACCTCATTAAAAAATTCAGAGAAATGATGACTAGCATCTAAAAACATACAGTTTGTATTATAGCAAATATATTATAACATTATAATATTTGTATTATAACAAATTTACTATATTTCAATAACATATATACATTTTTCATACTTATTATTAACCTGAATTTAAATTAAGTTTAATGTTTTATATATTTAAACAGATTTTATGTCACCATTTAAGTCTAACATATTGTTTTTGTCTAGTTTAACCTGAACTGTTGCTGAAACAACAGGTTTTCTTTGACATATTGATGTGTATTGATGCATTTGGTTTCACAATACCATGAATATCTGCAGAATGTATGACTTATAAAGACCAAGAACACATTTACAATACCACACACTTCTTATTTTTACATTTCTTAATGAAAAGATTTATTGAGAACACCACCAGCAGGACTGTAACTGCATGCATTGAATGGTCTTTAAATCTCCAGCACCAAGACAAACAAACCTACTTGCTGAGTTGCTCAAATGCATTAAAGCAAACCTGATTTGGTTTTGCATACTCAAGTACAGTATTTACTGTATGTCACTTGCAGTGTTTGTTCTATAGATTTTTACCGATTACTCACTGGTTTTCATTCTGCTGTTGTGGTCAGACTCTTTGTGTTTTGTCTCGACCGGTGTTGATTCATAAGTCAGGACAAAGGTCTCTAGGGCAAAGAGGAATTCTGGAAATGCTTGATTCCTCTGAAATTACAGGAGGTTAAATGTTCCCTTTTAAGAACCCATCTGATTGTGCTCCAAAACAGACTATGTGAATGTATGTTTTAATAAAAGAAAGAATGTAGTTCCTCTCCTTTTTCTTTAAAGGTCCCATATTTGACACCTTTCTGGAGTTTTATTTTAGGTTTTGATGTCCTACCGACGACAGCTGTGGTTAAACGCGATAAAACGAGCGGACTGGACAGAAAGGATTGTCAAAAATGCTCGCGTTTGCAGCGCACACTTCTTATCCCAGCTACTTTATGCAGGCTGTGTGAATTTTACTGTGGACTGACTGTTTTGAAACTTATATGGTAGTTACATAGCACCTAGACCTCAGTTATCATGAAAAAAGCCAGGAAATGTCAGTTTTGACAATATGGGACCTTTAAAACTCCAGCACCAAGACAAACAAACCTACTTTCTGAGTTGCTCAGATACATTAAAGCAAACGATAAGAAAGATACACCAAGATAAACCTACAAAGACAGACAAGTTATACAAGTTAATTATATAAAGCAACAAAATGCACTGAAGAATGTGTTGCTACAAGTATTATTACTTGTTTATAAATCACTCAGTGGCCTAGGACCTCAATACATTGGAGATATGCTCACTGAATATAATCCTAACAAAAGTCAGAAACACAAAGGGTCCACACAAAAAAAAGTGAGTCAGCTTTTAGCTATAGTGTCGGCTGCAGATGGAACCAGCTTCCAGAAGTGATTAGATGTGCTAAAACGGTCGCCACATTTAGATCCAGATTCAAAATCTGTTTAGCTGTGCATTTACTGAATGAGCACTGTCCTACATCCAATTGATTGCACTTTATTTCATTCATATATCCTATTATTTATCCTTTTTTAAAAATTAATATTAAATCAATTGATTTTATTGTAGAATTAATGCACTGGATTATTGGCTAATGAGAGTATTTTTTATGTGTGTTCTTAGCGGTGTGTTCCATGCCCTGTTTGAATGGAGGCCGGTGTATCCGACCTAACAGGTGTCACTGCAGTCAAGGATGGGGAGGATATGACTGCTCTAGGTAAGCCACACACAAACTAGGTATATGTGACGTATTCATATTAACATATGCATTTGCATACATGCACATTACATAGAAGATTTGGAAACATTTGATGTACCACAGTTCTCAACACTTTCCCAGCATATTACAAGGAACACTAAATCACTCAGCTGGGAGATTCCTGGTGATTGTGAAAGACGAGTAAGGAAACCATAAGTAAATACAGATAAGAACCAGCCTTCTCTGAACTCTGCCGTGTGTGCCAGTAGGTGAATTTGTGCCTCAGACACACCTAGTTTCATGATATCTCTCACAGTAAACCTACATTTCCCAGAGCACTGCAGTTGGTCTCAATCCAATCATTGAGTGAGCAGAGGGATAGGAAATGGATACTGCTGCCAGTTCTATTGCGATTCATTCTTTTAAGTAATTTGATTCTTTCCCATCTTTATTTCACTGATTCAGTACCAATGTCAAGATTTTATTGAGCAAATACAGTCTCTCAGTTAAGTACTATTGATCTGACAGTTTTTGCTATTAGTGTTTCCAGCTAGTCGGCTTGATACCCGCATCCCTCAGCTAATTAGATGCTGCAGCCTTCGTTGCAGGTTAGAGTGATTCACATTTAGATTTACTGGACACTTGGTCGATTTAAGATTCAAATGAGCTTAAATACTTTTTCATGGTCTGTGTGAACTGTACAAGCAAATGCACCATTGCCTCAAGCAAGTGCTATCATAAATGTTTGAAATTTATTTAGTGATTATGGTGGCAATATATGGGTCCAAAAGAATTCAGCTGATCTTTGATTATTAATAATTGTCTTTCAGAAAAAGAAGATCTGGATACTTTCATTTTTAATGTGCCACGCTACAAGAGTTGAAGTCTGAATGTGTTGGAACAAGATGGCATAATGTCAGAGATTTGTATACAACACATTTTCTCTTTCCCTTAGAAAGTCCTAAGTGGTTTTGTAAATTAAAGCTGTATTTTTTCATGTAGAAATGAAACAGTATTAAATATATGCTGCTGCTATATACATGAACTTGTACGATGTGTAAAAATGTTGATGTGATTGTCCAATGTACATGTATATAAACTGTTCTTTTCATGTTTTTATTAAAACAGAAAACACAACTATATGAAAACCAACTGTAATTCTCATTCCCACAGTTAATTATGAAGAATTCTCAATTAAACTTTCAGATTGTTCTACTTGCTTGTCTCATATGACTAATAAACATTTGACGTGAACAATTTGATACAACCAGCACAATACGAGAACGTTGTAAAAGTCAAGTTTTCATTTCCTTTAATATTTTAATTTATACAAAGCCAACATAAAATACATTAGAGATAGCCATTATAGAGGGCCAAAACCTTTAACAAAAAGTCTTACTTCTGTTTCTGTATATAAACTAAAATAAAACAGGATATAAATGAAGCAGCCAAAATTAGAATGAGTTAGAGTTGATGTTTTTTTTCTGCGTATATTAGTTATTACAGTGGTTGGTTTGTGTTTTTCTTCATTTATGCTTATTGATAATCTCCTCCAGCTTAGCGTGATTTGATCCAGAAAATTCATCAATCTGAGAAAAAAAAAGAAAGAAAGCTGAATCAGTTACAGCACAACAAGGAGGAACGAACAGGTTAAAAAAAGATCACAGAAATAGAACAGAAAACCTCCAGAGATGATGCTTTACCTTCTTTCCATTCTTGTAGAAATGGAATGTTGGCATACATTTGATGTCACAGAAAGTGGCCACATCCTAGACAGAGAAAGAGGGAGTGGAGATCAGGTCTGAATAAGTTTATTCAGTCTACGGTGTAATGATAAGCATCTTTAATAGTGTCTTTTCATTTTGCTTAGCCAGTCTGAGCACTTTTGTAAAAGAGGGATGAAATTATGTCCACAGCAGGACTCGAAGGCTGTCGAAATAAAAAAAAAAACATGATATGTTTAGAAAAAAATAATGTGTTTCATATTAATTTCATCTTAAAATGATGCTTGCCGCCATTCCTGAAATCAGTCACAAAAATGTCCGCTGGATATGCGCACTGTTATCAGAACCTTCAGACGCTCGGCTCACATTTGCCATCCTTACCTTGCGATTTAAATGTCAGGCAAAAAGCATGACATTTCAACAAATCGCAAACATGTATCAAGAATTCAGCTTTCGAATACACACACATCCCGTCCCGTCCCCCATCTGCTTTGCAACACAGCATTATAATAATAGCTAGTGTTTGTAACCATAACAACATGGGCAACCAGAATTGTCCCATTTTGTCACTGTCTCGATCTACCTCTGATAAAACTGAATGACAGCCAATATCCTTTCGGAGCGCTATCCCGTGAATCAAATAACACAGTATCAGCAAGCCGATCAGGAGAACAGCAACCGGGTGTGCTGGGATGTTCTAATGTGTTTGGGTCGCTTACAAAAGGTTAGGCGGATAGCGAGGCCAGTATTCAAATGAAAGTAACACAGTAAAACCCAGATGGTGAATCTATGTGAAAAGGGTGTTTTGTTCATTTGGCTCAGAAGTCTGTAGGCTTTCAAGTGTATTCATCAGAGAAAAAGACACCAGGTGACTAACCTGTGCATCATCCACATCCACCTTTAGAAACACCACATTTCCGTTCTCTTGTTTTTCAGACAGCGTCTGTGGAGGGAAAAAAGGCGGTTGTAAAAAGCAAACCACAAAGCTCACAAAGCACTTCCTTTGAACTTAATATTTCATTCCTTCCGTTTCATCTGTGAAATTTGCATATGCTTGCTTTTGTTGTCTAAACCAGGTAAAAATGTATGTGTGCACTGAGTAAAAGTAAAAGTGAACAACCACAAAACATGTAGGCTACATATGGCTGAGGTTGGTGGTTAGTTGTCAACCACCCCAAAATCTCAGTGTAGCCTATGTTTTGTCTAATGTATGTATAAGGAATGAATCAGCAGTCTTTTGTCTTTTATTCCTCTCTTCTTTCTTTATCAGGACTGCCTTTCATTTGCATTCTGTGAATGATTCATGCTTTAATTCTTAAGGAAGCTTCCCTGCCGATTGCCCCGACAACACAGCACAACAACAGAGCCACTCCCGGTGATTCCGGAGGCCTCTATAGAAGAAACATGACAGCTCCAGATGTCACTCTGAATCTCGGATCCGGTGACATATTCAGCAGTGCATGAATGCTCACTTTAAAGACTGGAGCGATGTTCTGGCAGGGCCCACACCATGTGGCTGTGAAGTCCACCACCACCAACTTGTTCCCAGCATTTTTCAGAGCATTGTCGAAGGCAGACTGCAGAGAGAGGAGGTAAAGTAGATTCAGTTTCCAAACTGACATGACACATTCCTTCCTACTGAGGTTCACTGAAATGGGCGATGATGAGTCATAATGCTATGGTTTAATCAGAGTGACCAAGACATTCAAATATTTACAAAAGAGCCATATGGCCTATGACTAGAACGGGGTGACAGCTTTCTATTTGAGATACTGAAATACAGCTCATATCCTTTTTAGTGAAATTACACTGAAGCAAAACAAACACGTAGGCCTACTACTTTATTGTAAATTAATATCTGATACAACATTTTAATGGTGATGGTACAACAACAAAAAAATATGTACACGTATGTGTATTTTATTGCATTTGTTTAAATTCCTTTATGACTTTGTAAGTAGCATCATAAATCAATTTAAATGTAGATCCTGTTTAAACTGCATGTAGGCCTATATTAATGTTTGATCCTCGGATTTTGCATGTCTAAAACCAAAACACTTCAGAAGGACACTCCATAGGAGAGAAAAAGCAGCTCGTTTGAGTAGCCTACTACCGATGGATCGAGTCTGATTTTTAATGAACCTATTGACAAACAGGTCTGGAAGATTAGTTCAATGCAACGGATTGAATCGATGTGAGCAGAGTGTCACTGACTCACAACTTGGCTTGACTGACTTACAATGATTCAAACGTTTAGAAAATCAGCCAAAGTAATTGATTTTTATTATTTAATGTCAATTATATTTAGATTTAATTATATATTTATAAGGTGAAGTATAGCTGAAATAAACACAGTCAATTACAAAAGCACCCTCCACGTGGCTTTATTGTAACATTAGAGTAACATGACAACAGATGGATTTCTGCTTCAGACTATATCAGAGACTGCGCCGTGACGTAATTACGTGACAAAATAAAGAACCACTGAATCAGTTTCTAAAATGAACTTTTCGAAAGAACCGATTTGAGTCAGATCTCCCATCACAACTGCACAGATGTTTACACAAGCAAACACTTTCTAACTAACAGCCACTTATTAAATCGTACGTTTTATGTCCTGTTTAAAAAGTAACTGAGAACAAATGTACTTCTCGTTTTGTACTTTTCATTACTGTACTCTGCTTTGAGGCTCTTTAGAACACTAGAGACCAATACACGTTCTTGTGTGTAAACGTTTCCGCCCACATTTGTTCCGCAAGCAGCGTTTCGCAAAAAAAAAACTACATGCGGTTATAGCTTATTTTTATCTATTTTTATTAAAGTTATTAACCTATTCGAATAAATTTTTTTCATAGACATCAGAAGTCAAACATAATTAACGTACATTACCTATAAAGAGTTACAGTCAAAGTCAAGGTAGCAGCTCAAATATTGGTATTATATACATACCTTATCCTCAATTATGATAATCATTTTGATGATTTTGATGTCTGTCTTCTACTGGTCTACTGTGTACGTCTTCTGAAAGCTCCTGCTTCATTGACAGTCAGAGTAGCAGCCCGCGTCACAGCGTTGAACGCTGTCAAGTAGCCCCGCCTTCAATGAAGACAACGGACCAATCATGGAATTATGAGGTTCTGTAACCCCGCCTACCACTACACAACACAAATATATATAATCAGCAGATAAAGCTCAGTAAATGCCATATACGAACGTTTCGCGCAGCTTGAGGCATAAATATTTAGATGTAACCTCTATAAGGAGTGAAACATGCTCATTTATCTTGAAAGACCATCACTAATCCTGGTTTTGCTATGAGCAAATCAGAATGACTTGACAGATTCCGGATTTACAGATTTACTGTACGCGACGTGACGTCACCGAGAGTCGTGGTGGATTACTAAACTGTAGTAGGCTATTCTTATTTATTTATTTATTTTTCTTCTTTGTCTTCCTATATAATTTCTGTATTCATAATGTCATCCAATGTTACATTAATTGTTGAATGTTAAGTGTTTATACTTGCAATAAAATAAAAAAACTAGTAGGCTATAAAAACTGTTTGTATACTATGCACACACATTCTTGCACATGTATAGTGCATCAAATAGTAAACAAAGAACATTCAATGTCTTTTTTGACAGCTTTTACAGGTTTTTAGACATACAAACTGTATTATCACAGAAGAAAGCAGCTGACATGTTCTGAAAACTAACACTAATCACTAATCTTACCTAATAGACAAATAGCTAAGGTAATACAAGGAGATACAAAAACAATTACAACAGCAAATGTTTCAACCTATTAAACAAAAAAAACAAAAAACAAAAAACAAAATTTAGTCACACTTCCTACTATACAGAATCACTGTGACTCAAACCCTCAGATCTTCTGCTTTTGTATATTAATTGTTGAACAAGCCAGTCCTTAAGACAACCTATTTTAATATCGTTATCTTGAAAGCACACGTCTGTAATTAATAACTAATTTATAGACACAGTCCCTAATAAAACGTTCTCTTGAATTCATGTCCAGTTGTTGTTTAACCCCGTCCTCTAGTCGCTGTAAAATGCAATCATCAACTTATTTTTTACTCAATGTTAATGTAGGCTACTTTACTTTTCTGTGTTAAGCATTCGGTTTACATTATTTTGTGCTAGACACTAATCTAACTGAAGATGTCTGCTCAAAGAACAAACATGTTTTACTGCGATTTTGTGTCTACTTCACAACCTTCAAGTACAGAGACACTTGGAATCATGAAATATTTCAAACAAGTTTCTAAAGTACATTTAGAGGTTTAGCCTCAACAACAAGAACATGTAAATGTGTTGTGAAACTTGTCTGGTTACACAGTTTCATTAGAACTAACTGAATCCTGTGAAGACATATCTGCATGTTGGAGTGGTGACAACAGCTGACATGTTCTGAATCATCTCTTCTTCTTCTTCGGCCATTTAAGTAGATTCTATGCATTTCTTTAGAATTGTTTGTGGCGCAGCAAAAAAAATCGCTTTAAATTCTAGAACCCAGAAGACTAAATGACTAAAAAAATAACAGAAATAATGAACATTATTAATCAGACAAGGAAGATATGGAAAGGTATGACCATATACAACATACATATGAGGCTTATGTGGTTTTATTTGTAAACATATTGAAGTGAAAGACAGTTAAAATAGTGACATTTGGGGGAGAAAAAAACAAACTTGGTGGACAAGTATGGGATTCATTTGGTTCCCTGGACCTTTAGACACAAACAGACTACACTAGGTTTTTCTGTCTACACATATTCAAGTTACCCAAATGTGTCATATTGTATTTTATGTAAAAACACAACAGATGGATTTCTAAGCATGCTTCAGACTTTAACAATAGCCTTCCCAAGTCCATCGCCCTTCAGCATCCTTATGAAGGCAGCTGGCATGTTCTCAAAGCCAACAGTGACCACTTCCTTTGCCTTCAGTTTGCCCTTCAGGAAAACAATTCAATGTGCCTACAAACCAGTTCTATTTCTCATTCACAGGCTGGTGTTGTTATATGGTGTGTAATGGCAATTATCTAATGAAGGGTGTAACGATAGGTGTAACGATTATGTTCCGAATGATTCATTTCTAAAGCAGCTTTACCTCTTTCATCCATTTAAGCATTCTCTTGATAGATTCTGCATCTTTGTGTTGCCAAGATCTCACCATAAAGCCTTCTATCTTCAGTTGCCGTGTAATTATTTCGTGGTGAGGATAAGGACCTGTGAGACAGAACAGATTCAATAGCTTAATGTTAGATTGCTTAGATTTTCCATATCCTATACTGTCCTCTAGTGGTTGTAAAGTGTAACAATTTAAAAGCATTTATTTATTTATTTTTCTCTAATATCTTCTAATATTAAAATGTGACTTTTTTTCCCTTGAAGGGGCTCAGTAGAAATAAGACGTACACATCTGTGGTGTTGTGTCATTGTAATTGGCTATTGCACCGCAAACAGCGATACGACCTCCTGGCTTCATGTTTTTGAGTGCTGCGGTAAAGAAGGGACCTCCCACCTAAAGAACATGAAGTAAAAGATTTGTTAACAAGTAGCAGACTGTATTTTAGACAAAAATACACATATAAAGTCAATTACATTCTCAAAGTAGCAGTCGTAACCTTCAGGTGAAGCGTTCTTCAGCGCTTCCTCTAGTGAGGAGACAGTCTTGTAGTTGAAGGCCTGGTCAAAGCCCAGCTCTTTTAGGTATGCCACCTTGTCATCACCTCCTGCTGAACCCACAACCTTGCAACCTTTGATCTTGCAGATTTGCTCCACCATCGCACCTACAGCACCTGCAGCTGCGCTCACCAGAATCGTCTCACCGGGCTGTATCTTACATACCTCTTCCAGACCATACAGAGCAGTTAAACTAGAGGATAAAAGAGATGGGATTTAGAAAACATAACATTAAAAAAAAGAATTGCCACTGCCATCATTTATAGCAGTCGTGAACTCGTGATTACATTACCCAGGCATCCCCAAGGAACCAAGAGCCAGGGACATTGAAATATCACTGGGCCATTCGGATACTATCCGGGCCAAGATGGGCCCGGCTGGACCCTTCGCTTTGGTTACAGTGTGTGTCCTCCATCCACAATTAGCAACCACGTAACATCCCTCAGGAAATGCTGGGTCCTTGCTCTTCACTACCCTGCCAGACATGAGTTAAGATATTTATTTAGTGATATGAAATGTTTTTGGTTATGAACAGACCTGTTTCCTCACGTAGATGCAACTTAACTTACTAATGCAATTGCATAAACATGTAAATGATACTGTGTAAACTGTGTTTCTCTGTTGCTCAAGATGTTTTTCCACTCATTTAAGTGGAAGTGTCTTCATCAGTTGATGCAACTTAAACCACATTGATGAGTAGCTGAACCGCTTGAGCAACAGATTCAGTTGCCTAGACATTTTCTGATACCATATTCAAATTATTCAACAATCTATAGTTACTTGGATAAGATTTATTTCCCTTTTCACCACTGAGCATGCTTTTTGTTTCTGTAAATGTGCTGCTAAGTAAAATGAATCTACAGCATAAAAGTGTAAATAAAATGTAACAGTATTATACATTACAATATACATAGTAATAATTGTTAATTTCCTTACTTTGCCAGCTGAGTTCCATATTGTACATCCCCCTCTTTTATCCACATTTTACTCAGAGATCTAAAAAAAACAACAGGAGGCATTTAAAATATTGGCTAGACACACCACATAGAATTACATTAAATAGACAGATGTTCTTCTAATAAGACTGAGACAACTTTACCTCATATATGGATCAACACTTAAATAGACTGCCTCCACAAGCACGTCTGAAGCAAAAATGATTTCGATACGATATGAATACGATAAATCAGTGAGGCATAGCAAAGGTATACAAAAAGACAAATATATGAATTATCCATACCTCCATCCAGGGGCGTGTCTAGAGCATTTTAAATTGGGGGGGTTGTGTTTGCGGAACGATGTATGTTCTAATACATCGTGTACACTCACTAAACAAGTGAGAGTGGAGAGATTCGTCCTCGCGCGAGCCTATCGCAAGACATCTGGTATCGCAAGCCGTTTTAGCATTTAAGTTTGTTTTGACTATCCATAAATATAATTTAAGATAGGAACAATTGTATTTTGACTAGTCATAATTATAATTCGACTAGTCACAATGACAATTAGAGATATCTGCAATTATAATTGCACTAGTAAGAAATCGGATTAGAGATATCTCTAAATACTTTATGACTAGTCAAAACTCCATTTAAGATATCTGTAATGACGTCACAGATATCTTCAATAGGGCGTCACACATACGCAAAGGTAATTAGAGATATCTCTAATTCAGTTTCGACTAGTCACAATTATATTTTAAGATATCTGAATCGTACCTGCTCCTAGTCGAATGTGGTGTTGTGTGACGTGAGACTAAATTTACTCAGCTCCTCCCAGAGCCCCTCCCCGACTAATGTTTAGTGCTAACTGCTAACAACAGTGGTCTGCTTTTCTTGTCACGGAGAGAAAAGCTACTGGATGAATTACTTCAGGGGTTATTAAATAATATCTGGATGCAGCCATATGTGGTAAAAGGTCTCCAGCGTGCATGTGTGTATAGCGCTGTGATTTTAATTGAATCATGTTGCAAAACGGACCAAATGCAGTGTAATGTTCAATAAAGGCAGAAAACCGCAAACTGCTCGTCAGAATTTATTTATTATACATTTAGACATAATGAAGAACAATGGAATTATACAATAAAAACATGAAAAATAGTACAAATAAATGCATGACGGACAAGAGCATGCTTCATAATCAGATGCAGTCAAAAAAAGGTGAAGGCTGATTTTAAAAAGATTACAATTTAATAAAAGTTTAACTGGCATTGATGAGGTTACATTACGTTGTGTATGGATTCAGGTTTACTTGTGTCGTTATGGCAG